AGCATTCATCATGGTTTTAATGCTATCAAACTCTAATCTGTCTGGGATTTCATGTGTGTTAACACAGCTACAAATGCAGGGAGCATACACTTCAACAACACTACATAAATGTCTCAATATCCGAACTAGACAATAAACAAACCCATTCAGTTCCAGGGATTTGCATGAGAAACGTGAGCATTAGCGAACACTGAAGAGTCTTCTGCATTTCTGCAGAGGGGAACGATGGCTTCAAACATGATTCTTTGTCAGTCAGGATGGGGGACACAGTCGCGAGCGCTTCTCAGTTTTGGCAGATCTGGGCTCACAATGCCATAGATTAGTAACAGCCTGACCACGGATCTGGAATAAGCTAATTGCTTAATTAGCTGACCCAATTCTATAAGCTTCTTTTAGCATATTAACAAGAGCTATGTAACAAATAGTAATGTTTCACAGAGGCGGTGTTTGTTTATGGAATTACAATAATGAGGATCAAATACAAAACATCCGGTCAATGGCATTTCTTTTATGGAACCTCTGCTTTAGAAAATCATTGCATTGTGTGATTTCAGCAGAACACTGAGGTAAAACTTTGCTCTGATCATAATGCTTATTTGCTTCTTATTTTTTCCTTTTCTTTTAAACAATTAAGCTACTTTGGGGTAATGGTTTGACTGCCCTCTTAATGATACTGGACATTTGGGCAATGTGGGACAAATGAGGAAAAGGATGGGGGGGAAATGTTATTAGATTGAATGATGATTGAAATGGATTAATTTACATTTCCGGCATGCATACTTTACATACATGATCTTTGCTCAGCACAGGGAGTTCTGGGCAAAAGAGCACTATTTGTATGAGATGAACTCATCTATATGCTAATTCATTGGCATGTAGACCTGCTTCATTTCTACCATTCAGGACTGTTTACCTATTAGCTCTTATAGATGCAAAGGGAATTGGAATATTAAAATAAAGTAAAAAAATAAAAATAAAAATACAGGGCATTAGCAGCACATCAGCTGTTATTATATTTATAGAAGCGGTGGCATTTCTGCCCTTTGTTTAAGCTGTAACCAGCACCACAATCCAAGACTCAAAATGAAATAAGCCAACTCTTTCACTTAAGTGGGACTTGTTGCCACTGACAAAGGTGCTGCAGCTTTTTAGAAGTCATTCAAAGGACTAGAACAGACTAAACCAGGCTCAAAGCTATACAAACTCCTTTGATTCGAATGAAAAATGATCCGACGCTCAAAAAGCGCAAGGCAACTTCTCTTTAGCATGGAGCATTCAAGTCGATTTAAGGTGCTACATTATGTTTGTGTATTAGTCTACGTGACTATAATTCAAGCAAAAAAAGGAAGTGATTTAAATGTTGGCTGAGTGCTGCGTAGTAACACTAATATGGCCTTATAAAGAGATGTTTGACAGATCAAGCTGCAAGTGATGCCTAAATGCTAATGTAATTTCATATGAACCAGGCTGAAAGAGATGCAATCAACCATTCCCCGATTCAGATGACTGTTGTGTTTAAGAGGATGACAACCCCTTTTCTCATTGTCTATGTAATTCACCAAAATTGCCACTTACAGCCGCTAAGAGCAGGACGTTTCATCTCCAAGCTTCCTCTGGTCTTTGCTACTCATCCCATTTCTACTTCCTCCAAAAGTGCCACCACTTCATTAACCTTGCCAGGCATGAGATAAGAGAGGCAGTGCATCAAAGCTGCCAGCCCACAGAGAGAACAGAGCCCTGCATGTCTCCACTACACAGCGGCCGTCACACACACACACACACACACACACACACACACACACACACACACACACACTCCAAAACCCATCCAACTCACAGAAAAGACCTTTTGTGTTCCAAACTGTCATTCACAAATGTGGTGGTTTTTTTCTGTTCTTGTGCACATGACATCATTATGTTTTAAATATAAGTCCGGGTGGAGCAAAAGCATTTGGTTGTTCCAAAGGTTTTAAGTGAGTTTGACTGTGAGGAATGCAAAATAATTGGTCTCGGTCAGACTTTTCATTGCCTCCAACACTTATCTCCTAACACGCATTGTCTCATTGCATAGTCATAAGAAGAGTTCAGGTACACGCTGCTGTCATCGCTATGACCTACACACTTAAAACCTCGAAAGGGAGAAAATGAAACAAGAAAAGCATCGAGCATCATTCAGCCCGATGAGTAACAACTCCCGACTTCCTCAAAGCATGACAGTAGATGGAAGGAAATATATTAACTGAGTCACAATATTGTTTTACTTGCACCACATACAAATCTCTCTGGTGTATTTAATCCCTCTACCCACAGTTTCTCAGAAAGGAGGATATAAATTATTTTCCTTTGGTGGAAACGGCAAATCCCTGTCTGGATTCTGTTAAAAGGCTTAAAATGTCACTAAATGCCAAGGCTGAGACTCCTGCTAACACGTAGGTCTTTAAGACAAGATGTTAAAGCGTTGAAAGTTACCTGAAATTGATGAGGTTAATATTCTTATCGCAGACTGAGGCTTCTGAGAAAGTGGATATTGAAAATAGCCAGGTAACCCTTCATATTAGAGGCTATCAGGCAGATTAGTAGCATAAACACCAATTACACATTTCATTGTTTGTTAGCATTTGAAAAACATGCCACAATGCATAAATTAAAAGGACCGGGATGTGAGGGGTGGGGGATGTATTTCGCTGTACAGTATCATTACCAGTATGGATTTCAGTAAAGAAGACAAGGAAATGTCCCTAAATAACAAGTCGGAATGCTGAATGCTGGGCTATAAATGAGTAATTTACCATGAATATCCTTCTCTATCCCTTTACAGCCATATGAGTTTCCAAACCACATTATAGGATCATGGAGGGGTCTGTCACTGAAATTTGAAATAGAGGACAAAGGGCCACGGAGCAAATAGGTTTTTTAGACACCATCCTCTGAGTTCTCTGCCAATGTGAATCAGAGGTAAAATACAGTGCATTAAGTCGACCTCTGAGGCTGCACAGAGGAGGGTAGAGTGAGACATTCTGCTATCTATTAAGACTTGCGTTATGTATATATTGTGTTTTGAAGGAATTTTACTGATCCACAAAACCAGCAGGCAAGGATAAGAGTGAGTCCCTAAGACCATGTGGTAAGCAACTGCAGTGCAAAATCTCAGGCAAGTTGAAAGTTGCTGTGCCGTTAAGGAGAAAGTCTGGCAGAATCCTGCATGCCCGCTGATAACATGGTTGGATTAAGGATGTTTAAGGGAAGTGAAAATTATTCATTTGAGATGGATGAAAGCTGCACTTGTCAAGTCTACCAGTCATGCACTTTATACATTTCATTTCCACTAGCCAGCATGCATAATTTCCCCTCAATGCAAATTTCTACACACTGAAAATGGTGAGCATATTTACACCGCTCCCTTAACACATTCTCTGACACAGAAAATGGATAATCTCTATTGAACAGGGAACAAAACAATGCAATTTTGTTTGCAGAGGTGTGAGAATCTAATTTTGTGCAGAAAGATAAACTCTCAAGACTCCCTAGAATGCAAACAATGGCTTTCATTTGAAATCATGCCTGAATGCCCCCCCAAAAAAAGAAAAGAAAAAAAAAAGACGACTATGTTTTGTGCCCTGCTCATCACAGACACATCTTTTGTAATTTTTAAAGCATGTGCCCAGTTATCCAAACGGGCTTGTCTTAGTAGTGTAATTACTGATTTTAAGTCACAAAGTCTTGGCCTCAGTGTTGTTCTAGGAGCTTTGCAACCAAGTGTGTATATGTATACTGTATCAGTCTCACTCTCTATACAAATATTATGATCTCTCTGATGAGAATTAAGTCTCCAGCCTGGATGGCCAATAAATTAGAGGCACGCTTCTCGTTTACTCATCAGAGCTAATGAGCCTGATAAAATTACCTCGAGGATCATAATTACAGGCTAGTGGCAGAGACTCTGGCAGTGACTGGAATAAGACGAAACACACATACGCACACACACAGAATTTAGATGGTGTTGGAAGAGGCAGACTAACAGCCAACCTAGAACATCACAAAGAACTCACGCCCTATTAATAGAATAACAGACTAATTTCAGTAAAAGAAAAAAAAAATGCTTTGTACATTTTCATGAGACACACAGAAACCTATACTGTTTGACATCGCGTCGTCACGAAATGCACAAGATTAACATAATGTAAGGTTCTGAACAATATTACAATTTCCACCTTTCTGTTCGAGCAGTTCAAACTGATTTCACCACCCTTTCATAAAGATTAAGCACTTCATGGGTAATGGCATATTTTAATGAACGATGGCAGCCTGGACACAAGAGCTCACCTCAGAGGATTCCATTTCATCACACATTCACAGGATGAATTGTTTTACTTATGAATATTAATGTCTCTCTAATTTGAGGCTGTTGTTAATGCTTGTCGCTAGGAGCTCGGCAAATCAGGTCCCATTCCTGTTAAAACCATGTATTAGACACCCCCCTGACACTAAGCCCTCGCCTTTGATTCTTAATTGCAGAAGTGCAAGCATTTGCAGTAGATGGGGCGCAAAGCTTTAATTAACTCTAATATCACACATTCAGTCTCGACTGTCACCCACATCATGCGTGGCATTTTGTACCAATATCATCCTCAACTGTGCTCAGCTAGAAAGATTGTGTTCCAAGTTCATGATCACAATTTCATGCATCTCAAAATGAGCGATATGTAGTTTATAAGAAGCTGCGATATATTGACGCCAGTGAATTATCTTGATGCCGTCTTTAAAAAGCTTTAATGAAGGCATACATCGATGCTGCTCCGTGATCGCTCCGCAGCTTTAATGCAAAGGAGTTCCAGTGCTGTTGGCTTCTTACTGAAAGCAATGTCTGATCTTGGTAGTGTCATTGTATCAACAGTCATTGGTGAAGCTTGTAACATGGGGAGGGAAGAGATGAAAAGTTTGGGGATCTATTTAAAATGGAAGGAGGCGGTTATTGAGTAAATAATTCAACCTCTCGTTCATTCTAATCTTCAAAGGATTTATTGGACAACAGATTTCAAGTTTTAAAATACTATAAATAGGAGAACGCATACACACACCTTTCAATAACACTTCTAAAATGCAACATTACAGAGCATTCCTTACAAACACAGCAAATGCCATTTTCACAGATGAGTGCCCTCGCACGTCATTTCAACATTTTAATAGCTCAGGTATGGAGCAATTCTGATGCAGATATTAGTAAAGAGTAATGTTTAATTAAACCAGGTTTGAAGATAAAGAGCTCAATACATCCTATAGTTTATAAGCCTTTGCCAGCCATAAGCTACTGCTCTTCCTAATCCTCTTTCACATAACATTATTGCATCAGCACAGCTGAACATTTTTGCAGCATTTATAAAATTAGCAAAGAAATTAACTGTCTGTACTGTGGCAAATAGGATTTCCAAGTTCTTGCCGTGTGATACAGCATACCCAGGCTGCCACCTACAGTACAGTCTGAGAGAGGAACTACAGCCCAACAGTTCAACATGTGTGGCTCCCCATTTTACACTCCACAGCCATTCAAGTTAATTGTTAAGGCTCCCTCTAATATCCTTACAGGAAATTTGTTAAAATCCATTATTAAATAAATACTGAAATAATTTCATTTTGACTCAAGACTGGCAAAGGATTACACATTTATCCTTCTCACTCCTATTCACATGTGGAAGAGCCAGTGTTCCCTCATCATTTTGACATTATGACAGTTGATTCGACGCTGCTTTTATTTTAAACCATGTGCGATTTTAAAATGGTTACTTTATTCCAAGAATATATATATATCTATACAAATTAGTATATCCCCAAATGTGATATTCATTTTACTTTAGTGAGACTGAAATTATATTAACAGAAAAATGAGAATTTTCTATACGAACAACCTTAACAGTGGAACAACAGTGGAGTAGCAACAAACCAAGAATTGAAAGTGATTTTCTAAACAAAAACATTTGCACCAATTTTTTTTTTCTTTTTTTTCTTCAAATGGTGTATAGACAAAATATGGCTTGGTACATCCTTCCTAATTTGAGATCTCTTCTGTTATCTTTCCCATGAGCACAAATTATACATAAAAAAAGTTACATTTTTAAAAGGAATATTAATACAATAGAAATAATGACAATTTAGTAAAAAATAAAAATAAATAAATCAAATAATCCCCTTTAGGATCATTCAAAGCGTCTTTTACTTCTTCGCCTGAACAGTTTTGAGATTGAGGATTTCCTTTCATTTTTGGCTTTCTTCACTCCTGTTCTCAACAAAACCAGTATATTAACAACTCAAATCAAATTGAAACAGAAAAAAAAAGGCATTTTATATGTTGCTTACCAAGGTTTTGCATCATTTTATTCAACTGCTGATCTTCCTCCACTTCCCTGAAATTAGCCAAAAATCAAACTAAGCACTGTCATATGTTTTTACCACATCAATCTTTAAGATTAACTGCATTGTACTTAAGAATTAATTAGAAGATTGATAATGTTACCTCAGCCTGTCCTCGTCGAGACCATCCACAATTGCGTTTCTGCCATCCACGATCTCCATCAATTTCTGCATTAGTTTCTTCTCCTGCCGTTGTTCCTCTCTGGACTTTAAATGATCTGTGACAATGTTAACAACCGCATGTCGGAAAAAGAAGTCAGACAGATGCTGACAGGCAAAGAGACCGAGCGCTTACCTGGCTTCTCGAGCAGCCTGCGAAGTTCCCCCTCAACACCTGGCTGCTGCTGCTCCAACTCTTGAGTCCTGGCTCTGAGTTTTAACATCAAATACTAATTCAAAACTCACATTATATCTAAAACTTCTAAACAATCCTAAAAATTTTGAGTTTCTCAGTTAAGTTTGATTTTTGTCCTAATGTTAAATGCAAGTAAAAGTACAAGCAATGAGGGAAAAATCTTTAAAGAAAGTATCAGGTAAAATAAATAAGGTTTGGAATTAATATAATCAAATTGGGGCAGGGATAGCTCAGTAGGTAAAGTGGTCGCCCCATGATCGGAAGGTCGGCGGTTCGAATCCACTTAACGGCTACCCTGAGGTACCCCTGAGCAAGGTACCGTCCCTACACACTGCTCCCCGGGCGCCTGCTTAGTGGGCTGCCCACTGCTTCACTGAGTGAATGGGTCAAATGCAGAGAAAAACAAGTAATTTCCCCATGGCGATCAATAAAGTATCCATTATTATTATTATTATATAAAGAGAAATCCAACTTTCAAGTCTCAAAGTCAAGTCAAAGTATTGTTCAAAAGCCTTTTCTAGTGTAAACAAATATTATCCAAATGAGTAATAATTCCCTGAATAATGGAGAAAGGGTCATTTAATATTCTCAATCTACATCGATCCTTCAATAATACTCACATGTAAATGAGCTCTGATTCTTTCCTAATGAACATTTGTTTTTTTCGAATGAGGTTAAACCAGTCGACCATCAGTGGGTCCATCAAGATGTCACCTTCTCCATCTGCAAAACAAGTTAGTAGCACTCAGCTGAATTTATTCAAAAGATAAAATAAAAAGTTTTATAATCACTGATGTGTATATATTGTAGTAAATCAAGCAATTATAATCACTGACTAGATGTTTATTTAACAAGCTCATAACATTTATCATTTCACGTAAGCCAAATATTTTGTGCTGTTCTGATGTTAACTGATATACTCCAAGAGCAAACTTAAAAAAGATAAAAATTAAAATAAATAAATAAATAAATAAAAAATACCCCACTTGAGCAGACTCAACCTCACTGTTTGCAAGAAAAACATTAAGTAGAAATTAAGGGGGGGGGTTAGGATATTTTGGCTCATATGCAGGTAGGTGGTTCTCAATTTTTATTAAGAGAAGAAGTGACTCACATCCTGGAACCACGCTGTCACCTTTATTAAGACACTATGTCACAGCCAACAATCTTAAAATGGAGCTTAGCCTGCCAAACCCGAATCTATTTTTTTTTAATAATATCAAAATGTATGTCACAGAACATGATGTTACAAAAAACCTGTCTATAGACACTTTATAGTTTGTCAGTCATCATTCCTGTGGCATCGACTTTAGAATATAATACAATGTTTTGTTGACAAACATCTTTTTGCAATTTACTCAAAAACCAATCCAGTAAAAAAAAATTAATGAATTACTAATTAAATCATTCACAACAATACTGCTTATATTTTTCCAAAGCTTTCATTATGTGGGGTTAAACTGGTGGCCACACATATACAAAGAAGCATTTTAAAATTTCATTTTCAGCCCTGAGAAGTTATATTATTACCCAGATTTTAAAGAAAATGTGAGAATGGATGAATTATGGATACATGATGCAGGGAACAATGCAATTTACCATCAAAGATGATTCAATATTTAAGGTTTTCAGGATACGGTGTATACTTTTCAGTATTGGTCCACCACAGTACTCCGACATGCACTGAAACAGTGCTTAAATTTGCTGCTTCACCGAGTCATACCCGAGTAGGTGGATCAATTGATTTTAGGCTGAATATTTTGCTAATCCTAATTAGCGACCAATCAGTCAAGTCACATTTACAACAGAGAGCGAGCTGCAGAGACAGAGGACAGAGCCCCACACATCCTGTCATTACCAGAACAAACATGATTTGATTCTGAACTGAACCTGAGTGCCAGGGTTTAGTTTTTATGCCAACAAATTCCAGTTGAGAAGTAGATGATCTCCTAGGTAGTGTGGAAATGATGTTAAATTCTGGCCAACTGACATGCTCAGGCTTCCTGGGTGGCATGTAGAAAGAAAAAAAAAAAAAGCAATCGACCAGAATACACACATATAAATATATATATATAAAAATTTATTACTATATCCAAGTCATGTTGACCTTGAGCAAAGCAATAAGGCCCCCTACTCCTACTACCTCAAAGGAGACGCAACATCCCTGTGGGCTAGCTGTGCCTCTCACCTCATTTGACTGAAACACTAATAGAAATGGCATGCACGTCTCACACACACACACACACACACACACACACACACACACACACACACACACACACACACACACACACACACACACCTTCAGCTGATGGTGAGCACATGTGTGAAGCACCCAAGATACAACTCACCAATGCAGCAGAGTGATTCAGCAGTTCAAACAAAAATATGATGTCAAATTTTAGTTTAAGGTTATTGCAAGACACATTTTGCTTTAGAATATTACCTCATTCAAACCAACATAGCGGTGAAGGGTCTACCAACCCCCCTCTTGTTCAGAAATGGCCAGGTATTAAATATTACCTAGCTTAGTCCGATCCACATATACAGATGTCATAATTGGTCATATGCAGCGATATAGATGTTACAGATGGGATAGGATAAAATAAAATAAAAAAGGAGATACCGCAATAAAATTTAGTATAATCATCTTGCAGCTCAAACTTCTTGTTATTACACAGAAAATCCTTCACGTTTCCAGATAATCATACTTCAAGCAATGTGATGATTGTATGGAAAGATGTAGTAGCCTTTGCTTTAAGAGGTTATTAACATGGAATTAGATACAAATCAGTATTTTGAAACCCTGATTCCTGGTTTTTACATTACCATAGAAATAAGAAACTACAATAGACAATATGCCACAACATTAAACATAATATTTACAAATAATAATAATTATTATTATTGAAGGAAAAAAAGATAATATTTGCATTGTGACCTTGTGAATAAGGGGAAATGCTAGATCCCATAATCCCATCATCATAGTATGATAATACTATCCTGATATGGTAAAGCATCACCCAAAATAACCTTATGATTATGAGGTTACTACCACTTAAAAAAAAAAAAAAAAAAAAAAAATATATCACTGTATGAAAAATGTAAATGCACAGATGCAACGTATATGTATTCCTAACAAGTTATGATATCATTACCAATATACTGTATGATTAATTGGGTTTGCCTCAAAGGCATCTATGTTTTCATTGTATTGCCCCTAGATTTTGGCCCCTTATAAAATTTCAGTGTAATATTACTAAAGTAATTAGTAATGTAAGATATCACATGATATTCATTTGTAATCAAGATGTGGTAACTTGCCATTTCCATATCTTTAACTTATCATATCCAGCTTATTACCACACTACTGCTCTCACTTGTTCAGAAATAATATGGAACTACGCTGCAGAGTTAAGAATGAAAAGCCAGCTACTAAATGTCTCATGAACCATGTCTGAAAGTGGACTATTGATTGCATTGTTTAATATTTGTATGTTTTTACAAGTAAAAAGGAGAAGTGGAAGACATAAAACGTACCTTCCTCACAGCTTCGAAGCTTCTGTTCCAGCTCCACACCCTCCTTCTCCAAATGAGCCAAGTTTGTCTCAATATCATTCAGCTGCCTTTCAATCTGCTCCATTGGGATATGATAAGACCTTACCTGGTGCAAAACAGAGAATTTAAGAGTCACTGTCAAGTAAAGATTATCGTAATTTGAAAATTCTGACTTTGGCCACTTTAATGTAAAGAAGGTCATCCATTTTTTGCTGGGAATGTAATGAAAGCATATTTGTAGAGCTGTTAATTAATCTCTTAAGAGACTTAATGGAGGGAACTTACAGAGGGTGACCTCATTTCAGTCCTGGAGGCGTTGGTGGGTGACAAATACTTTCCCTTTTTAGCAGCTAAGAGGTAGATAAAATAGGATTAGATAGTTCTTTCATGGCAGCTTTTTAGAAAAGTATTGTCACATATGACTTAACCTGTTTTCAGTAAAATAATTTTTTTTTAAATGTATTTATACACTTTTCATATGAAATCAACAAGAAATCTGAAATCATGTATATTTGGCTTTGATAGCTATTAAAAAGATGGGAAACAACCTGATGGATTTCCATGATTGGCTGGAAAAGTAGTTGAAGAGCTAATAGATTTCACAGCTGGCAGTCTGGGTGAGGATTTCACAGGCAAGCAACTCCCAAATTTAAAATCTAAAATAAAGAGAAGAGGCCTTAAACACTGCAGAAGTGCAGAGTTCACAAAATTTTGTTTTCATTTTGTTTGTTTAATATGGGAACTAATACAATAGGGTGTGTATAATTTTGTGGACGTTCAGAACATACACAGGATGGGTCCCATTGGTTAGAGTGAGTCATTTAGCATTTCCTCAAGCAAAACCATGAGGTTCACATTTATAGTTTTCATTAAAATAAGCCAACTAAAACTGGCATAAAATTTACACAAACCACCAAGAATGTATTTCATTCTTTGTGTTGATGCTCTCGACTTCTCATACAGTCTAGATTATAGATAATATTTTTGGTTAGAACCCAATCACCCTACCCCCAAATTCAAAGTACATCTATTTTACCATCTTAATAGATGAAAGTGCAAATTTTCCACCAACTTCATAGTTTCATTATGTCGCTTTAGATTCTTCAAGAGCTTGAATAAGTTAGCCAAATAAATAAAATACACATACATTTGCTTTACTTGGGTATTGCTGCTCTCAGTGTGTATTAATTGATTCCATTAACACATGACTGAACTTTGTTATTTAAACATGAAAATGGCCAAGACAAAACAGCTTGAGTCACCAAAACCTTTACAGAGAGGTTCCTTGCAAGCTAGTTCTGGTTCACTTTGACATCAAACACTCAGTTCATTTAATATATCAGCAGACAAATGTCTCTCATTATAATGCAAAGAAGCCTCTCACCTAGGATTTCAGAGGCAGGCTGAGGTTTCTGGGGACTGACTTCCCTAAAGCACGCAGGATCAAACAGAGCAAAGCTAACTCCTGGTGCTGCAGGTGTTTGAGCCAGAGGAAGCCTTGTTGGACTAATTGAGACATTAGATGGAGGTGTGGACATGAATTCAGCTTTATGATTTTCAGTAAAAGCTTCAGGTTCAGCATCTCTGTAAGATATAAACAAAGAAATGAACTTATTATTTTAATACAGAGGCATTAATCTGACACAGGTGAAATGTACTAATAGGTCAGACGAGTAACAACCTCACCTTAAATTTTGAAATGTTAAAAAGGTGATGAAAACAGTTGAGGAATCATCAGCAGGGGTTAGAAATGAGAAAATCTAGTGTTAAGGAGTAGGAAAGCAGGAGTTCAGGCCTTGCACTCCTCGGGACTTGTTAAGATGGGGGATAGAACTAGCGGCTCCACTTTGAGCCAGTCAGCAATAAAAGAGATGGACGAAGATGATTCTGCGTTCTGGAGAGTAAATAATCTGATAGGTCAGATGTATTTCAAGGCAAGTCTTTGAAGACATTCTGGTCCACTTGTGCAGCTTTTCAACTTTCAGCCGAGTAACTGCAAATACTTACTTTAGCCCGAGTTCGGTTTTAACAGGTTTTCTTTGCCACTCATGGTATACTGGATCTGCAGAGAAACGACAGAAAGTAAAATCAAAAATGAAAAATAAGATCATTATTGCTAGTCTCCAAAGACCATGAATACTTAGATGGGAAAACTATAACGGCATATCACTGCATTTAAGAAAGGACTTGCTTGATAAACAGCTGAAACAACCGTGATTAAAATGATGTTGATTCCAACGATTCATTTTTTCTTGCTGAAGCAGAAGGGCATTCCTCCACAAAGATCAACGATACTTTCCTCAATTCAAAGAAAGCGTTTCAAAATTTCAGAGGTGGTTCTTGTGCCTGTGATCGACATCGCCACCAAGTTTCCCAGCATCTCACTTGGCAGTCTTTTTCATAATCTTCCTGACAACAATAACACGAATCGCAATGATCACAAACGTCTAACTCTGCATTAACCTTGGCGAATAAAAAGCACAATGGTAAATCCGTCATTACACTTCACCTTATAATCTTGTGTAACTACCGTTTTAAAACTTTTAGAACGAGAGAAGATGGCGCATTGCAGCTTATGAGACATCTGCTTTGTCAGTGACGTGCACACTCGCGGCACTTCCAAGTTATTGTACACAATAAACAAAACAAACAAACAAAAAAAAAAAAAAAAAAAAACTTCCCTCGACTCGTGTGTCACACTCGTCTAAACAGCTGTCAAGCGCACAGTTACTGGTTTCATTATCTAGGTACCGGTATTCACAGCACTCCAATAAAATGATTGCGCTCCACATTCTCGTCTGCACACAAGAACAAAATGATGCTTTAATCACTGACCTTGGCGTAATGTCCAGTCAACATATGGTTAATATTAGTAAGAAACAGACTTCATTTCCATGTCTGGAAAACTTCCATCAATGCTAAAAGTAAAAGTGACTGAAAAACCATTCTCAATAGACCCACCAGTAATTGTATTTCTGTCTACAAACCCACCGACAGTCAGAATGTGACACCCGTGCATGCACATCCATCCCAGGAGAATGACAGTTCAACTATGAAAGTTCATTAGTGTGAGACAGGAATTAAAATGTCAGCTATCAGCATGCGAGATGCACTGGTTTTATAAATAGGGCAAAAATGACAAAAGGGCTTTGTTTTCTAGGAATGTGAGAGACAGACTGAATGGTGGGGGTGGGTGGATGCTGGCTGGATGTCAAATAATGGATCAGACACAAGTAAAATGAATTTAGTGGAGCTTGCCTTTGGTGGTTTTGTGTACAGTTGTTGGCCCTGTGTTGTCTTTATTGATGGCCTTTAGACATGGCAATTCCTTATTGTTTGCCTGAGTGGTGGAGGGCTGTCCTGCGTAGTTTCCTGCTGAGGCTTGGCTGCATTTATCCTTTTTCAAAGCAGAGCTGTCAGCTAAACTTGGCTCATCACCAAACCTGGGGACAGAGAAAGCCCTCACCATCAGCTTTAAAAAAAAAAAGACTGTGGGAAAGTTTCCTTCAGAAGGACAGTGCATTCATGGCTATAGATTGTATATTAATGCAATGCTCACCATCTCTCATCCGCCGATCGGATTGTAAATGGGCGTTTGTTATTATTGTTGTAGTTTTGCTCTGCTAGTTTTTTTCCAACCATTACCCTCGACTGGCTCTTTCGATCATCATCATCATCATCAGTCGGGACCTTTGGCCTTACTTGAACACTTGATTGCTCTGTTGGCTTCCTGTTGTTGACTTTGGAGATTTCAGTAACTTGTGGCACAGTCTGGAAAAACTTCTGCCGGGCAGCCTGTGTCTTCTGGGCTGAGGCCGTCCAGGACTGGGAGGTTGGAGTAGGAGCAACTGGTTTCAAAACATTATTCAGTGGGGCTGACAACACCGAAGGGGGGTGTGGTGAAGGCCGTTTTAGGCTGGCATCATTTAGTGGTCGCGCAGCTGAACTGGTGAGACCATTTTTGATCAGAGCCTCAGAGGAGGAAGTCTTGGAAGTGTTCTGGTGGGAGTTACAGATAAAAGTGTCTGGATCCGTCCCAGGTTTGTAACCCCCTACATGGAGTACGCTGGCGCACTCGCCACACCTGGTGGTGGAAGTTTATTAATATTAAATTATTAATGGAATAAGCCCCTGTGCAGGGGGAAAAAGCATCTATGAATATAGATTAAATTCTTACTTGAAACAGCTTCTGTGATAGAGCTTGCCTTCCACAAAGTGCCTCTGAACAAGATGAACATGGCCCTTGCATGAAACACATTTGCTATTGAGAGTCCCGTTTTTGTTGGGGTTTTCAGCCAAAACTACCTTCTGTGAAAAAGAATCAAAAGTGAGAAAACATTTATCCAGAAAGGTATCCCATTTCCCCTAGGATTCCTTTGGTGACCCACTGAAAATAAATGCTATGTTTAATCCTAAATATTATTCCTTTAAAAAGCAAAGGTGTGTAAAAGAAAGACGTTTTAACACACAGCCTTAATTTTAGCTGACTGATGACGTGCCGTTTGACATGACTACTGACCTGAGTAGAAGCTCTTGCCAATTTGGGTGAGGTCTGAGCTGTGTGAGTGGAAGGTAAACAACTCTCAGTGGCAGTTTTAGATACAAAGCTTTTGGCAACCACTGGGAGGTTTTTTTTCTCCGATGGCTCCTCCTTGGAGCCCTCTGCTGGCCTTTTTACACCTCCCACTGAAGACAGTAAAACATCATTAGTGTCAAAGAGTTGGGGGAAAAAAATACCTCAGCCTGTACATAAAAAAGAAATATATAAGGAAAAAGCTCAGAATTAAAGAGGATGAACTACTCAAATGCAGTTGCTAGGGATTTTTAAAGCAGACATATTCTCACTGGGAGGCCGTCCTTTGAAGTAGTTGTAGTACTGGGAGACGTAGGTAAGAATGCTCAGCCTGTCTGGGATCCTTAAAGCCACCATGTCCTCTGCATCTAACAAAGCTGGGATCCCCAGCTTCTCCTCTGCGATCTGAAAAGCCTTAAGAGAAAAAAATAAATCAAAGTTTAACCAACAGCCCCCAACTCCAACTAAATATGACAAACAAAGTAGGCATAGCCAAAGCACTTTTTCCATGTAAAAACATGGCATTGGCTGGGCTACCTCCTACAGTTACAGCATGTGTAAATATGTCACACAATACAATTTACTTTAAATAGACTGGCGATATTCTGTGGCACAACCCTAGGAGGTTTGGAAAGGGCTCTATAATGAATGGCACACTTCCTGTGAGCTTGTAGGGATAAGAAAGAGGATGGGAAGAGCGGGATATCAGTGCATTGTTTAGGATCAGCCTGGATATGCTCATTAAATTTAAAGAAAAGCCTTACGGAATAGCAAGTGGGCATATATAAAAAGAAGGGGATACTGAGGAGTTTAAGTGGACAAAACCACAAATTTCAGCTCATGGGGAGGAAAAAAAAAAGTCTAACATGGTTATTTATTAAATTAAAATATATAGAATTTACTCACCTTTAACCCCACCACCACCCCCTATCCCTGTACATGGTGGATTTTCCTAAACCTCCAGTAATATAAAAATAAATAACAGAGTATCGGAGATAGGGAAAATGGGTGTTCAATCAGGAGTTGGGCCCATAGGTACAGAATAGTGGATGTTTTTGACTATGAAGCAACCGGTTGCTCTGCTGGCCTCCACTGTGAGACGTCTGTGGGTTCAGATAAGGGCAACAAGAGGCCCAGGGAACTCATAAACATCAGAAGACCGCCGCTGCTGGCAACAGGAGGAGGAGCATAGGCCAACTCCTCCATTGCAGACCATGTTAAAGACCCTGGAAATAAAGGCAGCTGGGATTAAAAAAAATAAAAAAAAAAAATAAAAAATCGGTTTCCAATGACCATGTTCTCCTACAGAATCCTTCCTTCAATTACTTCTCTTGATAGGTCTTGTTGAACAAAAGGCTTGCTTTCTGTCCACGTGGCTTGAGCTGAACTAAATAGCTTAGGCTTTTAGAGTGTAAAAACACACCACTGTCAGGTAAAGGGGTGTGCTTTATTTCTAACACAAAACAAAATTAGAGCTTTATGGTGAAAATGAATTCTAAGAAGCAATTTCATGCTAGATTGTACCTGAAATTAAAATCCAATTTATCATCCAGCCCTACCTGTAAGAAGCGTGACACCATTCATGAAATATAGAAAGGGTGTGAATTACCAGGTGCTCTCTCATGTTTCAGTAGAGGGAGCATCTTCAGCAGTGTATCAAACTTAACCTTGACCAAACACACAGCCTTTTGCCCACAAATCGTTTTGTTCTCGTATACCATTCAAGATGTATGCATCAGCAGTGTCTTCAAGAGAACAGTCACCATAAGGACCGAGTGGCAGACAACAGTAAAGCCTCATTCAAAATGAATAGACTTGAGAGCCTCTCCCCTGAGGTCAGGTTTGCTGCTGACACAGCCAAGATGATCGAAAACAACAAGGAAGTCGTACGGAGCGCGTACTGTAGCACACTTACTGCAGGGCCTGTAACCCTCAGAGGAAGCCGGCAAGAGGTTAGAAAACTAAATAATGGAGAGGTCCCAGCTGTGCTGCTCATGTCACGCAGGGGCTAACCGAATAGATGAGTTCAAACGGACAGAGCAAGAGCAAAGATTGAGAAAGGTTGAGTTTGACAGGAGTCTAAAATTAGTAGAGAGATATGGCTTTTGCTTAATCTGCTGTGCTGTGAAAACTGAAACAGCTAAATATTTGTCCAATCTGCTGCATAGATGCCAAGGCAAGAACAAACAGCGTGTTGCTGTGTGGCCCGTCATGTCTGGGGTTAATGAAGTGGATGTTTTCTGCTACATCAGATTTTGCAGTTTGTGTATGAAGTCTGCTCCTCTCAGTAAAGGCTGAACATCTTGACATCTTACCAGTCTGTTGTTCTCAAACACATCCTCCTTTCTGAGTGAGTCATAGTCTCTGGGAAAACAGGAATACAATGAACACAGAGAAGTTACCTCAACTACCCAGAATAGCTCTTTTACAGCATGTAGAAAAAAATATATGTTTAAAAGAAGAAAAAAAACAGCACTGTGAAACTGGACAAATGACAATGTATTAATAAAACACAGAAATAAGAATAGGGATCACTTAAGTTAGTACTTATACAACTAACATATTAAAAACAAAATAAGGGTAAATTATTGGAGGAGGCAGGCTGTCTA